ACATTTGAATGATAATGTAACACTTTTATGGCGGAAATTTCAAAGTTTTGAGGTCGGTTTTGCAGAATTTGTTTTCAAATCTGCTTGCCTTTCCTTCCCAACGAAACTTGCAATCTGCCTGCCTTACAACTGTTCCTGCCGCACAATATTACCCCCACCTATTTTTATTCCTATATTCGGATGCAGTGGCCTCCTTGGGCTAACCCTCTTCTCGCGCCACGTGATACTTTGTAACGTAGCTGCCGTTCTCATTGGCGGATCCAGCGAATTGGCAACATTGTGTTTTCTCCATTTAAACTTATGGAAATGTATCGATTCCCGGAGAGGTGAGGTGCTCCGAAAAGAATCGATTATTTAACATAGGTTTAAATGGAGGAAATCCGGTGTTGCCAAATTGCTGGATTGCGCCTATGGCCGTTCTGAGGGAGAACGTCGCATGTGCGTTCAGACGTTGCCAAATTTTCGCGGTTGAAGTACGAATTTTCAAGGAAAGTAGTCAATTTTTTCCTCCTATTTTTCAGAGGATTTTACCTGCGATCAGATTTAAATTATCTAAACATTTCAAAAGATAATATTCCTCCTTGAGAACAAACGTTTTATAGAAGGACATTTGGCAACTTTCACAAACAGCGGTTTTCCTCAGCAAGGTAGAATGGATGGACTTTCGTGCTCNTGGGGATTCAGCCGGTCGGATTTTTCGTGGGGATTCGGCCGGTTTCTGATTTATTATTCAGAGTATGGAAAGTTTGGCAACAATGCACAGAACAAACATGAATAAAACGTGGTATACAAGAAATGAGCTATTTAACGTAGTGTACCTACTTACTTTATACTCAATGCTGAGACCCAATTCCTGATCTTTCCTCCAAATTGACTGGGTAAAATGAAAGTTACACCCGTGCAATTTTGCGTCAGGATATAAATTTGACAGGACGGATATGACAGCAATCTCAAAATCTAAACAGAAACTTTCTGGCTTCCACGTTGGAAATTTTTCATTTAACAAATGAAATAAGCGTTGATAAGTACGTTTCTGCATGTTCGGAAGTAAAGCGTAAACAATAGGAATGCAGCAAACAGAATGGTGGGTGCTTCTGTACTTTGCATGAATTGTATACAGTTGAGCAAATTGTTTTGGACATGCATAAAATGTCCCGTCAATAAAAAAAGTCTTGTTTAACAGATAGTACTTCTTGGATTAATTTTGTCCATCCAAACACTAAAATTCGGTCTTTTTGACCGTCGTCACAAATTAAAAAAATTGATCCGTCCGACTGTCAGTTCATGACCCCGCTAAGCATGATTTCAATCTCGAGATGTCACCAACATGATAAGAGTATTCCTCTGCTTCGCATTAGTACATTGTTGCCAAACTTTCCACACTCTGGACAATAAATCGGAAACCGGCCGAATCCCCACGAAAAATCCGACCGGCCGAATCCCCACCGGCCGAATCCCCACGCGACCATCAGTCCGTCTCGATAAGAGAATTTTCTCCGACACCCTCGCTGCCGCTGCCAGTCGGTCGCCAAACTGAGATTCTGCAAGGTAGATTTACACAGGTATGGACAGAACTTAACAAGTGGCCTCTGATTGGCTCTCCAGCGGCCCCTTAACGTCAGCCATTTTGAATGTTTTGATTATTTTGATTTATTATGTTCGGTTTATCGTTTGTCAAAATTTTGTGGGATTTTTTGCACAATTTTGATAATGCGATATTAATTTTAACGTTTAAACGCACAAACGTTTGAATGTTAATTTGATTGTAATTTAATTAAAAAACGGGCCCCTTAACCTACGTCACGTAGTCATGTGACACGTACTGAGGCTCATGGGAAATTTTCAACTTTTCCATACCTGTGTAAATCTACCTTGGAGATTCTGCCTACCTGAATACGCAGTGAGCATCCCTGCCCCTACGATAGTCCTCCTCCCCCTCCGAGACTGGTCGGCCGCGTCACGTAAAACGTCGTGCACGTGCCGCAGTCGGGCATGTTAGACCGAAGGAGACGGTTCACCTTCATTCATTAGCTTGCGATTTTGAGGAGCTAATTTTACCTGTAAACTTCGATAATTCGCCGCCCCGATAAAAGAACTTGTGATTTTGAAACTCTTCTTCTCCTGTCGAATTCGATAGTTTGCTAAGTATCACCGTTAGTGGAGTTGGTGTTTTCTCACTCCTGTCGGTTGTCATTGTGAGAGTTTTCGGTAGCCTTTTTTCGTGATACTCCATGATATTCAGTTGGAGGGTGTCGTTTTGGAAGTTATTCTATCTCTGAGTCTGCGCTTCGGCAGTATTAATTTGGTGAGTTGCTTGCATTTATATCACTGAAAATGGGTCACTAAACCTTGTTTATTTTATTGAATATTCTGAAAGTACTATGACAGTAGATAACGTGGTGATTTTTCCGCATTTTTATGGAGCCGAAATCGCGGAGAAAACCGCTTTTGAAAAATCTAAAAACTGCAAGACATCTCAAACGCACCCGAATGGCGGGAAACTGACGGTGTTGAAGCACTGCGGTGGTCATATCGCAATCTTCTCTCATTTTCCTCTGATGTTTGTTTAAATAAAACGTGTTTCAATGTGGAATTGTTGCTCGTTTATTACAGCTAACATATGAATGAGATTCAAGTCTTGAATTCAAAAGATATAACTTCGACTTTAGTATTGTTTTCATATACAAAGAGTAGATAGACATTTGATGGAAGTCGTGGAAACCCTTGCCCGCTTCTGATTGGTGCCGGATGACATCATTCGGCGCGGCGCGAAACTGGGGCGTTTTAAATTTGCGTATATGTTGAGCGATTTGAACTACGCATTTCTCGGTTATTGAGTTACTTGTTCCCGTTTTTAATGAGCGTATCATGTTCTACGCGTCATTTTCCTTCAGAAAACTATATTCGCAAGTCAAAATTCGTTCATGGTTTAGTGACTCATTGTATTTCTTCGAAGGAGATGTGCTTATGTGTAGTATACTGCCGTGCTAAGGAAGAACGTACGAATGGACCTGTTGCAAACTTTTGCTAGAGCAAAAATAAGAGTTGTTTCCTGTAGATAATGCCTCAAAAATCACGATGAGCGCATCGGCAAAGTCTGAAATGCACTCATAACTTCACAATCTGCGTAAGAAATTTGCGTTTTTTTAAGCTTCCCGCTTCAAAAACGATACTACGGCATAGGTGAACATTTTGTTGGAGGAGTCGCTCCATCGTCAGCGATATTCATCATGGCCGACGCTTGCACGCAGTTCCGCGCGTAATTCAAGGAGAGTTCAAGGTCAATCAATTCGGGCGTGGAAAATAGGAACGTTAACACACCGATTGTTATCTGGTCTAATCCAGTTCAGGTGTTATCTCGTCCATCAAACGTGTTTCAGCGGATTGGCGTCGGCTATGATGATTATTGCCGACGATGGAACGACTCCTCTTACAAAATGTTCACCTGTGCCGTAGTATCGTTTTTGAAGCGGGAAGCTCAAAAAACCGCAAATTTCTTACGCAGATTGTGAAGTTATGAGTGCATTTCAGACTTTGCCAATGCGCTCATCGTGATTTTTGAGGCATTATCTATAAGAAACAACTCTTAGTTTTGCTCTAGCAAAAGTTTGCAACAGGCCCATTGCCGTATGAGCATTCGAGAGTGGGCACATTTCCCTCAGTAAAAGGTTTATTTTTGAAGGAAGCTAGGAATAATTTTCCTGGAAATTTTCGGGAACTTGAGGTGAAATTGCAATCAACATTATCTGAAAAATTGGACGAAAAATATTCATAAGTTTGTACCCGGAAATTCGTATTTTATCGATTGGAAATGGCAACGCTTGAAGGTTTATTGGTTATACAGCATTTTTCCTCAGCATGGCATTGTAAGACACTTGAAAGTCTTCGGGAGGCGATTGTTCACAGGGGTGCAAAAATTGTGGAGGGTGAGAATTTTTTGTTAGATTTCTCAGATTTCCAACTCTGGTGAGGATTGCGACTCTAGCACAAATTCTAAAATTAAAGTGCTGAATGCAGGAAGGGCATTTCTTGGTTACGGTGTCTTAGGATCTCGACTAAAGCAAATTCATGGAATTCGTTGACACTTTTGCTGAATTTTCTTTATGATTTCACGATGCTTAAAATTGAAAGTTTCAGAAAATTCACCCAATAATTTCATCTCTGAAACATACATTAGCAGTGGGGAGTCTGAAACACCGCAACCAAGCATTGGAAAAAACACATGGATCTAGCATTCAGACTCTTGAAAACATTGACAAGAAAAGGGACTCTTGATTCAATCAGATTTAAGCTTATATCAAAAGGAAATCCGCTTAAATTAAGAGGCTTGGTTCTTGATTTAAGCTTAAATCTGATTGAATCAAGAGTATTTTTTCTTGTCGATGTTTTTATGAGTCTGGACTCTAGATCAAATGTGTTTTTCTCTCCAGTGAGAAATACCCTTTCTGCGCCCAAAAACTCAATTAACTAAAAATTCCTCAAAATTTTGACCGGCGGCGTGTTGTTATTATGATGTATGATCTTTTTTCGAAAACCCAGCGCATTGCGGAAATTTTTTTTTTTTTTTTTTTTTTTTTNTTTTTTTTGAGAGCTTGCGCACTCTAGGTATAGTTCATTGGCCTTAGTCGTGTAGACAAACAGCCACCGCTAAATGATGGGAAGATTACAACAACAGTAGAAACGGAAGTACAAAGGAAGAAACGAAGGAAGAAATGAAGAGAAACATCCATGCCACTCCACGGTGACAAGATCTGAGACCATCAAATCTTGCCACCGAGGCCGGGATTCGAACCCGGGACATCTAGGTCTGTGATCAGTTGCGCTAACCACTGGACCAACTGATGTCGGCTTGCAGAAAATTGCGGAGGCCTAGAAAAATATGCTCCCCCTTTAGTTCGTTTTGATTTTCTCGAAACACGAAACAATTGCACCCAACAGTTTCCTCTCTAAAATATAAATTAGGAACTGTAGAGATTCTGAAACACCGCAACCAAGAAATACCCTTTCTGCGCCCAACGCTTCAATTGCATCTTTGTTTCGTCCTCTTGCTTTACTTTGTCCTTTGTAGCAACGGAGCTAGAGATTCGTGTTTTGGGCAGGTGTGACTATCCGGCCCGCCCTTCCTTGCCTAAGTTTTCCCCCTGATATTTTGTCATCGCCACTTCGACAAAACCCAGGCTTTATCCCCTTTATACATATGGTGCCGATTTCCTTTTTCATCAGAGTCTCGATAAGAGAATTTTCTCCGATACCGGCCGGCCGCGGTGCGGTGGTACACATACCTGTCGCCAAACGACCAGACAGAGATTCTACCGAGCGGATGTTCGGCTTATCTGACCACCCATAGCCCCCTCCCCCCTTACCAGAGACTGATTGGAGACGATACGTGAAACGTCTTGCGGCGGCAGTCTGGTGCGTGAAGTTGGATGTGACGGTTCAGTCCGTTTCAGTGGCTTGTGATTTTGAGGAGCTGATGTTTTAGTCAAGTTTGGTGATTCTTCGCCCTGCTATTAATTATTTTGAAACACAACGTATTCTGTCCAATTCGATTTTTTGCCGAGTCGCTTTTGAGTCGAATGAAAACACTTTTATCCGTTGTCACTGTGCAAGTTTCCAGTAGCCGTTTTCCCGTGATATTTCCATGATATTCGGTTTGGAGATATCATGTTGGAAGTCAGTTTGTTCATGAGCCATTTAGGGTTAATTTGGTAAGTCACTTGCTCATATCATAAAAAATTGAAGGGTTAGGTGCAGGAAGGGCATTTTTTGGTTGCGGTGTTAAAGTATCTTCATTCTCAATTTATATTTTGGAGGGGAAATTACTAGGCAAATTTTCTAAAGTTTTAATTTTCAACACTGTAAAATGTTAAAGAGGATTCAGTAAAATTTTAACGAATTTCATCTATTTGCTTTAATTTTAGTGGATGAAACGTTAACGGAGATCCTAAGACATCGCAACTAAGAAATACCCAGTTTACACTCAGCGCTTCAATTTTCCTTATTAAGGTGATTCGATGGACGCCATATTGTGTGTCAGAACGGCATGCGATATATCGCGCCAATTGTTTCCATTTTTTCAGCTACTCGTCGGTTTTCTCCAATTTTGAGATCGCAATTCTGTTGTCAGGAGACTAAAGCACTCACTTACCAATTTTAACCAAGAAATTAAACGTAATAAAGGCGTGGTTTTTTCAGAGAGAAAACATCGCATTCGATACTGATATCGAAACTGCACTCGAATGCGATATTTTCTCTCTAAAAAAACCACGCCTTTATTACGTTGAATTTCTTTGTTAAAATTGGTAAGTGAGTGCTTTAAAAGTCTCCTGACAACAGAATTGCGATCTCAAAATTGGAGAAAAATGACGAGTAGCTGAAAAAATGGAAACAATTGGTGCGATATATCGCATGCCGTTCTGACACACAATATGGCGTCCATCGAATCACCTTAAATGAAAAGTTGTCGTGTGCAGAACCTGATTTGAGAGTCCCTGAGGGGCGATTTTCTCTATTGATTTCCACGAGATTTTTTTTCACTCCTGGGAGTTTCACAATCAATGAAGTTACTATTTTGTCACGTCGGTTGCCATTGTATAAGTTAGGTATCTGTAGCCTTTCTTTCATAATTTTTGGTTTGAGGATATCGTTTTGGAAGTCATTATTAGTTTTCTTCTTACGCTTACCCCCACAATGTTGCCTCAGTAAGTCACGTGCCTGGATCGCAAAATATTTTGATTATTCGAAAGATATGTGGCCGCGTACAGCCTCTGACTCATGAGTCCTCAAGGAGGGAGGGGTGTTGTTGTTTTTTTTTTATTTGTCCCGTTTTCAATCCTATGGGATGGACGTAAATGTGATGATACAGTAATTGGTTGAATTTTTGAGTTAAAGATGTACGTTTTGATTTCCTGCGATCCCTTTTAAACCTCAGGTTCTGGAAGGCCATTTTCAGGAAGAGCAGTGTGTTGATGAGGTACAGTCTTGCAGAGAAAATCGACATGAACTTTGACCCGAGCAACGACGTCTTATAGATAGACTGGTCTCATGTTCATCCTCATTTTTTACGCGTTTAAATTTTTAATTTTTCACATTAATATGACATTTAATAATGACATGTAATGTATAATAATCGCGTTGAGTAAGAATTACAAAATAAAATCCCAAGTAGCACAGATTGCAATAAGTAGCAATTACATAGTAAAAATATTACAATTCAACTAAGTGTTGTGTAGTAAAAATATTACAATTCAACTGAGTGTTGTGTATGTTGCCTAGTTCCTATTTAAAGGGGCCCCATTCATTGACACTCATTGCAATAAAATTGAAATAAGTTTCAATTTTTCATTGCATTGCATATTGCCTATCTTTCTGACACATGGAGCTCATTTTGTTGATCGTTTAAAATCGGCATAAATCGACTAAATGATGTAAAAATATTGCAATTTGATGGTAAAAAAATTACAATCGTGTTAAAATCAAATTGCAATTTAATTTCAATATTTCCGTTGCACTGTGCGACTTGCGAACGATATATATTTACATTAAAAGCCGCTTTCTCATTTTACAGTTTCTCGGCAGGGGAAACCGGCTAAAAAGCATGAATTTCGCAGTACATTGAATTTCCCTCGGAAAAGCTCGTCTTGAGTAAAATATCAGTTTCCCGGAAATCGGTGGGTATTGAGGGAGATTAGATAAGATTCAACCATCATAGTCCCAACAATCTTTTTTGCAGACCCGCGGAATATTTGAACCAAAATACGGTGCAGAAAGTATTTTTCACTCGGAAAAAAATTTCAATGCAATCAATGACCGATTTTCATGTTTTTCTAAACCATTCCAGGGTAGTTTACCGCTTTAGGATATAGGGGTTGCGAGTTTTTACAGACTTCGTTCGAGCCATCCGTGCTGTAAGAGAGGTCGTTTTTAGGTTCCTTTCAGCCCCCCCCCCCCCCCCCCCCCCCCCCCCCCCCCCCCCCCNTCCGTCCGTCCCGTCGCGTCGTGTCGTGTCGTGTCGTGTCGTGTCGTGTCGTGTCGCGTCGTGTCGTGTCGTGTCGTGTCGTGTCGTGTCGTGTCGGCGTCGTCCAAAAGAGAGCTGGACAGCTTGTTTTCATTAACAGGAAATCTTAGACAGATGGCAGAGTCTAGACAGGGTTACAATGGAACCGGCCTGAAAAGGCAGGTGGAACTGCCAAATTGATTTCTCTAACTTTGAAACAATTACATAATACAGAGCGACAAAGAGGCTTATCGGTTTCCCGTCCGGCGAAATGTCTCTGGAACTCTGCAACGTCAAGGGTAGGAGGTGGGCTGGGCCCACACACACACATGCACACCCTCACACGTCTTTCGACGGACCAAAATTGCCGTGCTAAGGAAGAACGCCGTATGAACATTCGAGGGTTGCCAATTTTCCCTCAATAAAATGTTTATTTTTGAGAAAAGTTATGAATATTTTTCCTTGAAATTTTCAGGAACGTTAGGTAAACTTGCGAGCAAAATTATCTGAAAAATTGGAAGGAAATTATTCATAAGTTTACCAGGAAATTCGTGGTATACCAAAGGGAATTTGGCAACGCCTGGAGGTTCCTACGGCGTTTCTCCTCAGCACGGCAGAAAAGTCCCGGTGGTTTCAGATCGTCCGAGCACACGTGCGAAACCCCCCTCCCTTTCCAACGATGCCCGGCCTATGGCATTTTCCTTTGCCAGTTGCCTGTTCAGTCTAGTTCAGAGATTGCCTCCCACCGCTACCTACGCGCAGTATTCGATCGGTGACAGTAGCCTCTCTTAAAATTCAAAACCTGATCGTTAATCGTCAAAACGTTTCTTTTACGGTTGTGCTGCTCCTCTTGAAGTGCTTGTCAACTGTGTTTTGAGGCAATTTCAAGGTGTCGTGTGCATTTGAGCATATCCTCGCTAAACATAATCGTGGTGAGAAAGGCATTTTCTTAGTAACAATTTCTTGATACGATCAGTTCACCCTTGTGTTGAAATCCAGTGTGCACCGCACCATCTGTGGTTTTTGTGGACTTTCAGGGGCGTTTCCGAAGGCTCCGTTTGCGCTCGCGAAATTCATAAGTGACTTTACATGTGCTTACTCTCTCCTAATCGTGAAAAATTAGCAGCTTCAGCGTTACCTATTTCAGAGTGAGTGTCCTAAATTCATGTTTCTATGACCAGTCTGACTGTCGGGACAATCGGCTGGTGTTTTTTATTTTGTCCTCTTAAAATGGGTCTTTATGATATTCTATATTTACTGTTTTGTTTTTTTCTCCAAGTTTTCAATCGACGCAAAATTTCGCAATGATTAAAAAATTCATAGGGTGTGATCCTTTGAATACCTAAATTGGGTATCACCTAAAGTGTAATGTAATTCAAAACAAGCACCTAAGTATTTATACGAAAAGAACCGCGCGTTCTGGGGGCGTCAAGTCAAAATTTGCTTTTTTCGCTATTCGTAGATACTATATGGAGGGTGGAAATCAATGTTTTTTTTATTATTTTTTGAACCCCAGAGAGGAGATGTAGGAATGAGGGAAGTATCCTGTACATAAGTAAGATGGAAATGAATGTCCTCACTTGTTTTGGCATCATGAACCTGGCCTCAAGAATCGCAAATCGTGCGATTTTTAGGATCAAGTCACAGTGATTAGGTACTTCTACCGACAAAATGTCCACCAAATATCTCTTTCTGCGCAATCTGCATCGTTTCATAAGTACTCGTGTTATTTGAATCCATGAACTTAAAAAACTCCGAATCCCGAATCCCGTATCTAACGCACAGACTTACTTCCTCCCATCCCGAAAATGTGACTCCCAATTTGCACCGTAAATCATAGCCCCTGTCCCTTTGATACATTTCGATTATTATTTTCTTTATGTTTTATTTTTCAGATTTTCCAGCTTCACAACTTGTCTGTCGGGAACTTACGAGTCGCCGAAGGTATGTATTCGTATTTGCTGACACTATCGTATGTTTCGATATTTCCGCTTTTTCACATTATGTTATCATTCCAATGATGCGTAGACTCGACCTTTTTCTTCCACAATACACTCATTCGTCGTTAAGGATACCGTTATTAACCTCATTCAAATTCATTGCTTTAATTTCCAATTTTACTTGAGTTTCACAGTTTTTCCAGTTTGTAGCTAACATTTATTCATTTGTCTTAATTTTTTTCAATTATCCCTGACAAATTACTTTCTCCCCTTGCATCGTTTTTTATGTGTAGCATTTCCAAAGTATCTAAATCCTCGTAATTATTGTCCAATTGACTTTCCTCTTCTCCGTCAATGCGAATCCCCCCCCCCTCCTGAAAGTACGTAACTCCATTTGAATGTTTCCAAAATCCCCTCGCAAATTGCATATCAACAAGGACAATTTTCGGGCTTTTCTATCTGAAAATTTCACTGATTACCCCTCAGATTTAATGAAAAAAAAAAAAAAAAAAAAAAAAAAAAAAAAAAAAAAAAAAAAAAAANAAAAAAAAAAAAAAAAAAAAAAAAACAAAAAAAACAAAAAAAAAACAGACAAATGACTAAAAATTTCATAGGTACATTTGAGTAAAATTAATTAATATTTTGAGTCGATGTGGCTACCTTGGAATGGAGTCATGTTCCCTCATCCAACATCGCGAATAGAGCTACGAAGTTTGGGAGTTGCACCGTCGATATGAGGTTAATAATCCATCAATAATTAAAATGTTCGTCCCTTGCCCCTTCATTGGCCTCATTAAAACAGGTGCGGAATGAAGCATGCGACTTATCGAGCTTCTGTGTGTGCTGTAGTATCACTCGAAATTGAAGGCATTCTTTTATTTGTGTGAGCCTATCGTCGTTGCGTCGCACGGTGCGGCATCCTTATGGACGATGCGGACAAAAATCGGTAAAAGACACTTAACTTGAAAAAATGAAGAAAGAAGCACATACATAGGAAAACATTTTGGCCATATCAAAGTTTATCACCAGGATATTTTGCGTATTTTTCGAGAAAACTTCATTTGAAGTTGGCAACCTCGAATCAACCCTGTGTTAACTGTAAAAGCAACGTGAAACATCCAAACTTTAACTTGGCAAAAAGTCGCAAGATCCTTTTGGTAGGATTGAAGTTGGATATCTGAGGATTAAGAAAATGTCAAGCATTTTGCGTTTCAAGCGAGAAATCTTCATTTAAAGTCGTCGTATTTTTCCTGTCTATTTCTAATGGACCAGTATGACTCTCGACCCATTTCCTGTAAACTTTCTACATAAATGTAAAGTAGTTTTGAGTAAAAAATTTGAAACCAAAAAAAAAAAAACCCAAATGAACCAATCAAAAAAAAAAAAAAAAAAAAAAAAAAAAAAAAAAAAAAAAAAAAAGAACCAAAAAATGAACCATCATTGTGAGTCAAAAATATCTTTAAGATGACAGATTCCAAAAAAATATTCAAATATAGAGTTGTGAATTTTTGATTTTTGTCCACTGAGGGCCGCACTGTGCGTCGCCCCGAATATCTCTTTCAATAGTCATACCGGATTTAAACTTTTCGTTGGACTTTCTTTCACTGGTGAGTGGTGAAATTTAACTGGTTAAGTGAATATAAACTGGTCAGTGGTGGAAAGGTTCAGCTTGAAGCACTTTTGCACCTGTTTCAAGGGGGGAGAGGGGTTAATAAGTCTGCCAAAATGGCTTAGGTAATATTTGAACGGCCCCTCCTAAGAATTTTCTGTGTTGAATTTACCGATTTTTTCAACTTTCTTTTATAGTCAATGCTGCTTTTTCAACGTTCTTTTATAGTCAATGCTACTGAGACTTCGATAACTGTCTCTATCATTTAGCGAAAATCTAATCGCATTTTGATATCAATAAACCGATTTAGAATCTTCGTGATAGTTCAACTGTAAACAAATACATGACCTTATCTATGATTCAAGTCCTTCGCGGATGATGCTTTAAGATTCTGATCTACAGATTTTGGAATGAACGCCTCTGTAAATCTAGATTTCAAGCATATTTCAGTAATGAATAAAAACGTTTATGGATGATTTAATGTACACGATTCGTGCACTGAATTATACCACAATGGAAAGAATTATTTTTAAGATCCTTCCAGGAGCGCAGAATTTTCACGATTTCGTATAGGCAGTGGAAAAATTTCGTAGGCTTCAACCTTGGGTAATGGATGATAAAAAATGTATTACGTTTTGATGAAAATGTGCTTCATTTTTGCGTGCACCTTCCGAAGTTTCGTGCGCGCGCTGTCCTCCAAATTTCGCATGCGCATTTCGAAACTTACAATAGAGAATTCGCAGGTGTCTGAAATTTGATGATTTATGTGTTTAAGTGGAAACTATTTGTGAGTAAACTGAGCACAAGGATACCCTCGATTCATGAATTGAACAATTGTATGAGAATAAATAACAAAGTGATCTATTCTGCTGAAATACGTGTATTTAAATGGGAAATGCTGCTAGATGACATCACTAGGTGCATTTTCTCACTTTGAAATCTATTTTTATACTATTTTCCACATCAGGAAAAAATTATAAAAAATACTTTGAAATTAGCTCTCTGAGCACTTTCAGATGAAGCAATAAAAAGTGTGCATGCGAATTTTCCTCGAGCGCTAGTCAAGAGGCGAGATCGAGACTATAGAGCTCGTGCTATGTTTGAAGTATCCCGACAGTTTTGCAGGCGCTTCCCGTGATCTTTTTTCGCGCTAAGTTCAATGTTGCGGAAAATTTCCTCCGGAGAATGAGGTTCCTTCTCACAGATCCGGTACTAGTTATGAAGCAAAGAAGCTTTCTCGAATATCTGCAACAATGACAATGAGTTCGGTCTCTTTTCCGCTGACACAGAGGTTTAACACTGAGTTGGAAAGTTGGATGGGACGAAACGCGTGACGCAACCATTTCGATTTCCAAGAGGGTAAACTTGAATCGATCAGTTACAAAAGTGCTCAAGCGTCGAGTCATGAAAATAACAGTTGAAACTTTATTAACCAACCCGTTTTAAATCGCAAATTAATTAATAATAAGATTAATTAATTCATTGCTTTAATATTTTAGGGCTCTGAGAATTCTAAGGGGTCAATTAAAACGATTATTACCGTTTTTCTCAAATTCTCATTATTGGTGCTTGAGTTCTTTTGTAACTGATAGATTCAATTGCGTATTCACGCAAAATAGGGGACTTTTTCCCCTCGCTGACTCAGAGACTTCAACGTAGGATTATAAAAGTTGGACGCGTGATACAACTATTTCGACTTCCAAGGTGATGAAATTGCCTATCGACAAAATGAAGGAGAATCTCTTCTCGGCTGACTCAAAGACCTTAACGCGGGAGTAGAAAAGTTGAATGGGTGCCGAGAGCGAGACTAGATATCAGGTTGCACCGCAAGCTCGACGAGATGGCGCGGCGCGATGCGTGAAGTATACCTACAGTTTTGCAGGCTCCCCGCGATCATTTTTCGCGCAAAGCTCAAAGTCTCGGAATCAGAATTACATATCTACCATACATAGAAACTTTTGCGTGCATTTTCTACGATGCGTTTCAAACTTCCGGGACTTGTCAGCCCTTCTAAGGTAGAGCTTATATGTATTATAGTGTCCATGAAGAGTAGGCTTTTAGGGGAAATTAAACTTCCGTTTTGGCCTTAGCACAAGGCAGAGTCTTACAACCCGGCCCTATGTTCATTGTCCATCCTCATTTTCCACACGTTCATTTTTCCAATTTTTCTAAGGCACGACTATAGCTTGTGAGAGGAGCATGTTATCATGACATTAAGTTCTTCAAGACGCGCGCCGAGTAAGAATTATAATAATTGAAATGACGTACGGTAAACGCATGTTACCTCATACACGCTGTGCTCTTTCTCATAACAGGTCCATCATTCATGTCTCACAAATGTCTGTGCATTTCCGCGAGATGAGAAAGGAAAGCTAATAGTTTTTGCTCAAGTTTTTTTCCTGAATCTGTAAAACCCATCCAGACGCATCTTTTAAAGGGCAGGAATTTTACCTACCAGAAAATTTTACCCAGGGAAATTTGTCGACCTGAATAACGCTTAAATATTTATATACCTTATTGGTACAAGGTATACTGAACCGGAAAAGAAAACCGCAAAATCGGATGGTCACCCGTTTCCCTTGAAATTGCCAAAAATTGGTATTTTCAATGAAATACTTCGATTTTTCCCTTTTCCCCGTCGCTGTTTCGAGCACTTCCGATTGTAATTTCGAAATTTCTTTTTACGTGCAGATGCTTCTATCCATGAGTGTTACTAAACCGTAAAAAAGTGAAAATCGAAAAAAATCCGAGTTGGTGTGTTTTCGAGCTCACTGATTCAATTTAAAGCACAATTTAACACGGACCTCCCGCTAGTCACCCCTTGACGTGTTATAAAGATGACGTATACGAACCCTGCGCCTCAGAAAAATTAAACTTTATACCGACCACAATAATTGTTCATCTGCGAACCACTGATTGTATGGGTTAAATTCCTGCCCTTTTAAATATGCGTCTGGATGGGTTTTACAGATTCAGGAAAAAAACTTGAGCAAAAACTATTAGCTTTCCTTTCTCATCTCGCGGAAATGCACAGACATTTGTGAGACATGAATGATGGACCTGTTATGAGAAAGAGCACAGCGTGTATGAGGTAACATGCGTTTACCGTACGTCATTTCAATTATTATAATTCTTACTCGGCGCGCGTCTTGAAGAACTTAATGTCATGATAACATGCTCCTCTCACAAGCTATAGTCGTGCCTTAGAAAAATTGGAAAAATGAACGTGTGGAAAATGAGGATGGACAATGAACATAGGGCCGGGTTGTAAGACTCTGCCTTGTGCTAAGGCCAAAACTGAAGTTTAATTTCCCCTAAAAGCCTACTCTTCATGGAGACTATAAGCTCTGTCTTAGAAGAGCTGACAAGTCCCGGAAGTTTTTAACGTATCGCAGAAAATGAACACAAAAGTTTCTATGTATGGTAGGTATGTAATTCTGATTCCGAAACTTTGAGCTTAGCGCGAAAAATGATCGCGGAGAGCCTGCAAAACTGTAGGTATACTTCACGCATCGCGCCGTCTTACCGTGCTTGCGGCGGAACCCGTTGTCTAGTCTCGGTCTCTGCTCTTGACCCATCCAACTTTTCTACTCCTGTGTTAAGGTCTTTGAGTCAGCTGAGAAGAGATTCTCCTTCATTTTGTCGATATGCAATTTTATCACCTTGGAAGTTAAAATAGTCGTATCGCGTCCACCTTTTGTACCCTCGCGTTAAAGTCTCCANGGGGGGGGGGGGGGGGGGGGGGGGGGGGAGTCTCATCCATTGCGTGAATACGCAGTTTTACCTGCTTAGAAATTGAAATAGTAGGGTTATTGAGAGAAAAGACAAATGGTCGATTCGAAAAATTTTTCAGGGCAGACTATGAAAAATCAGGATGTGAAAGTCTGTGAGAACGAAAAACACCAACTCGGAAATTTTTAAACGCTCAATTCTCTGTCATCAAATATGGTGTATCGATTTCAACTTGATGCTTCACAAAGTCTCTAAGTACTTGTTCTTTGGCATCAAAAAGGTTTTTCTTAAACTAACTTCCTCGCCCGCTGCGCAGTTTTAGGTGTTTCCTGAACAATTTTTTTTCTTCGAGTTGTTGTGTTTTCGAACTCACTGATTCAATTAAAAGCAGCACATGTTCCAATAAATTGCGATTACATGGCAAGTTACTGCTATCAGATCGGAGTGATGCGTATGTTGTCTATTCTCTGCTTGAAGGGACTCCTCTTTTTAAAATTTATTGGAGTAAAATCGCGATAAGGTGCACTTTTAAGCGCTCAGCCGATAGGCAGCGCTTTTTGATTTCGACTTGCCTCTAGAGTACTAGTATACTAGTGCTAATTCGTTTAAATGGCGCACCAGCTCATCGATGTGTAGGCTTTTTTTTTTGGGGGGGGGTCCATTTTTAAAATAAATAAAGCTGTGAAAACTGTATTTTATGCTTTTAACGTAATACGCAGGTAGTTTCGATCGTTTGTCTATAAGAAAATTTCTTAGCGGTAGAGTAATTCTTATCGAAATTGATCGTTGAACTTAAATGAAGCCTAAAAAAAACGCGCCTGATGAGCTCAACGGTGAGCTCATTTTCGGGAAACGAAAATACGCGTTAAGGGTTTCCTTGGTAACCTTTGTTTGCTATCAGCTGATGTTTTATTTCCATTTCCCAGCCAAGTCGACGGAGTTTATACTTCCTTTCTTCACTAAATACATTTACTAACACCTGAGCGCTTTTCTAATACGACAGTATTAGAACTTTCCCGCTTGTTTTTAATTGCAATTTCCTAACTGCCTTATACATAGAACTATTTGATCGTTTGAAATGGGAATTTCCTAATCAAACGATGTAAAAATAATGCAATTTAAATGGGAAAATATTGCAATTTCTTTCCATTAACTTGTACCATTCTTTCAAATTTTCGTTGCTCTGTGCTCTTCGGGAACGGTATTATTACATTTATGACAATTTTATGTTGAATGTATCTATTTCAGCATTCTTTTCTTTCTTTTGCAGTAATTATTTTGTGGCCTCTCCAACATTCGTCAAGGCGGCGTGCGAAGACTGAGAATTTTCACTTTGCATCAGAGCTGCTCCTGAGTTTACGGATCATCGCTTCTTCCCGGTAAAATCTCTCAAACCCTTGCTCTCAGAATTAACTGCTCCTGAATTCACGGATCATCGCTTCATCACGGTAAAATCTCTCCAACTCCTGCTCTCAGAATTAATTGCGAACGAATCGACCTTTTGTTTATCCTCTCAATTTTCAAAGTTAGCTGGCACAGTATTCTTCCTCACCAACGATACAATAAGCAGTCGCCATGTAGGCGGATCTTAGTAAAATCAGTCTAACTCCATTCTGCGTTGCCTATAATTGTATCGCTCTCAGTTCGAAAACTACCAAACTCGGCACGGTGCTCCTGAAGGGGTCCGAAGTTTGTCAAGAGCGACAAATTTGAGCTAAAATGTCAAGAGGAGATCTCTCTAATACTAAAAACCACATTTTCGAAACAGGTTGTTGGAGCTCCTGGAGAAATAATCGCGATTTTATGAGGTTATTAGGCTTTTTTTTGGTAAAAAGGCTCATGTAGGGCACTTAAATCCCCCCTTGCCTCATTTCTTTTTGGATTCATCTGAATTTTTAGTATATTAATCTCCGATATGCGGTACAACTTTTCTGAAATTGTCATGATTGAGAAAATTCTTTTGCTCCCGCTGCATCGTTGCAAAGTTTCAAGCTTCATAATTTTGGATTTTGCGAAATAATTGTGACATTGCCCCCCCCCCTCCCGCTCCTTCGATTGGTCCGAATGTTCAGTATGTTATTCTCCGATATCAGATATGTAAATATTGAAATTTATATGACCGGGAAATTGTTTTACCTTTCGTTGCAACGATGCCAAATTTTAAACTTAAAAAAAAATACCCCCGTCATAAAAATGTCAATATTTTCGTATATCATATCGGAGACCAATCTAAGAAGGGGGGCCAATGTCACAATTTTCTCGCAAAATCCATAAGATTTCGAAAGCGAATACTTACTCACTAAATCCCAGAAGCATTCAGTTTAGCAATAGTTAGTTTTGCATCGGCAGCATTTACTTTTATGTTTTTTATCTAATGAAATGAATCGTGAGAGAAATATTATATATCGGCCTTATTTTGGAGTTAGACTAATTTAGCTTGAAGGCTTCCATCAAGCCACACGAATTAAAGCATGGTGGGGTTCTTGTCACAATCGATATATTTTCTTTTGTTTTAACTTTGTCTACCTATGAACGAGTCTGAGGAAAATTAAAAAAAAAAAACCCTCCCTCAGCGAAGTCAACCAATTCTCCGCAATGGCGGCAAAAGGAAAGAAAAAATTCAAATATATTCAGCATCATTCCCCAAATAGGCTCACACAAACTGCATTGATGAATAACTGTGCAGGTTGTATACCCTCCAAATTGCAGGGTATTTTTGGAACTTACAAAAATCAAAATTAAGGCCTCAATTATTCAGCGAACGCAAACTTAAAAAAGAGGGATAGAAAGCAGTAAACACATGAATCTCAAAAACTGATTAAATTGACCTCTTTTAGGCAAGGGGCTTGGATGACACTTGCGAAAAACCCGCTTTTACTATTTCAAGGATTACGTGTTTAATTGTGCAAAATTACGCGGAGCCTTATGGCGGCAAGAAAGTTTGAACTCACTTTTTGCTGTTTAAACATTGGATTTTAGGAGTGAAATCTGCACACGGTGCATTTCGAGACTAGCTTTAGTTAAAATCATTTACATGTCAATTTTTTCAAAAACTGCACACATCCCACTTGCCTTCCAAGCCCCTCAATTGACGCTCTCGTTACGAAAACCGCTTGATAGATTAAGTTTAGTTGATAGGCATGAGATATTTTGATTTTTTAATTCTTGATTAGTTTTTTTTTTTTTTTTTTTTTTTTTTTGTAATATAAGCTTGATTAACTTTGAATCATACATTTAATGGCCGACTAAATGGGGCGAATTCTTGACTCATGCATGGATTGCCTGTTTTTCTACAGCGTTCAATGAGATTCATGCATTTGGTTACATTCATTGGCTGCGTGATAACTAGTGTCTGAAGTTTATCACTGGCTACTGGGTTTTTATTCCTGGGAATCCTATTGACTATATACATTATGTAATCCTATATATTAAAATGCAAAGTCCCGAATCTTGGGGCATTAACTTTGAGAGAACCACCGGACCGATTTGCATGGGATTTTTTTTAAATGAAAGCCCCTGAGCTGTAGATTTGCAGGCTGTGATCGTTTTTTTGATTTTCTCAAATTTTCTCCCATAATTTTCTAAAATTGTCTTCGATGCATTAAAACGGAGGTCCGAATCTTTGGACGTTAACTTTGAGAGAACCACCGGACCGATTTGCATGGGGTTTTTTTTAAATGAAAGCCTGTGATCTGTAGATTTACAGGCTGTGGTCGTTTTTTCGTTTTTCTCAAATTGTCTTACTTTTATCAACGAGTGAAGTTTAGCTGGGCTCAAATTTTCTCCCATTTATTCTGACTAAAGTCCGCATTTTGGGGCATTAACTTTGAGAGAACCATCGGACCGATTTGCATGGGGTTTTTTTTAAATGAAAGCTTCTGATCTGTAGATTTGCAGGCTGTAATTGTTTTTTCGATTTTCTCAAATTTTCTTACTTTTATCGACGAGTAAAGTTCAGCTGTTTTGAGCGGTCATCCGGCCGCTACCTGCTTGCCCGTCCCTAGATACCCCCTCTAGGGTCTCAGCCACCCCTCCCACCACGTTCTTTCGGCTATCTCCGTTTTCTTTCGTATAGCTCTCCTTCCACCAACCTCAAAGAAGGAAGTTTGGGTTGCATCGTCGTTCGTCAGTTCGTCACTCGCCACCCACATTCCTTCGCCATCCCTCGGCTACTCTGCCTCACAGCTTCTTGATATCCTGGCATCTTATTCTCTGCGGCTTGACTGACCCTGACTTATTAACTGCAGTATTGCGTATTGCTAACAACACGTATTGTTACAGACATTTTATTCATCATTATTAAGTAGATTCAACTAATTGCTCCGATTCCAATTAAGGTACTCGCCACCATTGCTAGCTGTGGAGGGCGCCCGTAGGGCGTCCGGAGCAGCTAGTAAGGAATTAATATTTGTGGATCATTCATAAATGCACCTATCTGTATAGAGAAAATTAAATTGGGAGAGGAGGAAGAGCAAAGAGAGGAAGAAGAAGAGGAAAAAGAATGGAAAGAGGAGGGAGAAAAAGAGACAAAAGAAAGGGAGAAGAATGGGTAGAAGAGAGTGAAGAATAGGAAGAAAAGAAGAGAAAGGAAATCAGGAAGAAGCAAGACAAGAGAGGAGAGAGAAGAGCATGAAGAAGAGAGGAAAGAAAGGAGAGCAAGACGAAGTGAGAGAAAACGATGAAAGGAGAGGGGGCGAGAAAGAGGGGGAAAGGAAGGGAGAGAAAAGAAGGAAGGGAAGAAGAGAGAAAAGAAAAGAAAGAGGAGGAAAGTTATAAAGAAAAAGAGGAAGGAGAGAATAAAGAGGGAAGACAAAGAGAGTAAATAAGAGAGAAAAGAGAGACAGGAAAAGAGAGAGATAAAAGATAGGATAATAAGGAAAAGAAGGAAAAGAGAAAGAAGATGATCAAGAGCAAGGAAAAGAAAAGAGGGAGAAGAAGTAAAGATGTAAGAGGAACTAGAAGAAGAGAGAAACGATGAAGAACAAAAATAGCAAGGAAAGGGAGGGTTGGACAAAAAGGAAGATAAAGAAGAAGAAGCAGCACACATTCTGCATAAGAACATAAGAACATTGATGGCACTTGCGCTGTTTTAAAAATGAGCCTAAAATATTAATTCCTCATTGCAAAATATAATTTTACATAATTAGGAATAAAGTAATGTTATCAAAAAGATTTCAGTGTTTTAATTCCTGAGCGGCAGGGATAAATCTAACAAACGACGAAGGTGAACCTACTAGACCGCGTATCTCGTTTCGATTGTGCGAAGTCATCTGAATGGAGGGGAGTTATTGGTGAAAGAGGGATGATTAAAGTTTTCGTGAGTGTTCTACGTTTGGAAAATAAAGAAAATTTAAAATGAAATTTGTCATATTAATATCTTCATTCTACATTCTATCGACAATCTCCATTTCGTTCCGCTTTTTGTAAATTAGTAATGATAGTTTCATCCTTGTTAAATAATTTCCATAGCAATATATTATTTCACTTATGCAATTTTCGTTCTGGGGCTGCAATGCTCCTTTCTCGAACATAAATTTATAAATTTTGCAGCGCTTGGACGTCTCAAGATTTGCCATTGATTCTGCATGCGTAGCCTCTTGCATCAAAAAACTTTTTCAATTAAGTGAGATTTATTCTGCTAGAGAAGAGGAGGAAGAAAAAGAGATAGAAGACAAGAGAAGAAAAAGAGGTAGAAAAAAGAGAAAAAAAGAGAAGAGAAGAAAAAGAGGCAGAAAAAAAGAGAAGAAAAAGAGGTAGAAAAAAAGAGTAGAAAAGAGAGAAAAAAGAGAAGGGGATAGATGAAAAGAGAGAAGAAAAGAGAGAAGAAAAGATAGGGGGAGAGATGAAAAGAGGGATGAAAAGAGAGATGAAAAGAGAGATGATAAAAGAGATGAAAAGAGAGATGAAAAGGGAGATGAAAAGAGAGATGAAAAGAGAGATGAAAAGAGAGATGAAAAGAGAGATGAAAAGAGAGATGAAAAGAGAGATGAAAAGAGAGATGAAAAGAGAGAAGAAAAGAGAGAAGAAAAGAGAGAAGAAAAGAGAGAAGAAAAGAGAGAAGAAAAGAGAGAAGAAAAGAGTGAAGAAAAGAGTGAAGAAAAGAGAGAAGAAAAGAGAGAAGAAAAGAGAGAAGAAAAGAGAGAAGAAAAGAGAGAAGAAAAGAGAGAAGAAAAGAGAGAAGAAAAGAGAGAAGAAGAGCAGGAAGTAACGAGAGAAAAGGAGAAAAGAAAGGAGAACAGGATGGAGAGAAAGTAGAAAAGAACAAAAATTCAATTAACTTTCGTACTTTACTTTTCAGTCCCTCCCCCTCAGGGTTTTTAATTATTCTAGCGCCCAGTATTATTAGAACGGGGGGCGTACGATACCGCAGCTTTTGGTTTGGGGTCGCAGTAGTGCTTGCACTTCCGTTGGACGGTCGGCAGCCATGGCATCCGTTGAAGGCCGAAACCAATGACCCAGGACCCGGGTGCACGGCAAGGCCTGAGGGCGGTAGAGAAAACCCCTTCGGCAGATAAAATATGTCTGAGTTGGCAGGGGTCCATGATGTCGGGACGAATAATTAAAACCTCTTTCTCATCTCTGTTTTTTTTCGTTCAGTTTTTGTTAAAGAGTGGATGGGTTTAGGTCTAATGGGTAGGTATGGGACTATTTTTTTCTTAACTTTTCTTGATAATTCAAACGCACAATGCTCACGAAAATTCTATACCCTCCTCTTTCACCAATAACTCCCATCCATTCATGTGATTTCATATGATTATCTTCATTTCGTTTCTCATCTTTTTAATTAGTAATGATAGTTGCACAATTGGTAGTTATTTTTCCTAACAATAAATTACAGCTCCTTACTCCTATCTTTTGCATCAATACGATTTTTGTTTTAGGGTTAAAATTCCCCTTTCTCTAGCATAAATTAATTATTATATAGAACAGAGGATGAATAAGGAAAAAAGTTACTTGGGGGGGGGGGGGATTCCGTCGTAGAGAGTGGAATTGAGACACTAAAAGTGCAGTAGAAAGTTTAAAAATAGAGTTTGATGCAATTGAACAATATTCTCGTCGTAATACCCTTGAGACCCAAGGTGTCCATTTGCTTGCCCCCGTAGCGTCGCCTGAGCAGACCCGTGAAATTGTTATGCGTGTCGGCAGTGCTGCCAATATTCGTGTTGCCCCGGGTATATTAGATTACTGTTACTGATAAAAAAATTGAAGAGATGGCAAACCGTCTAAATTAATTATTGAATTCGCCCGGAGATTTTATAGAAACAATTTTCTGAATCAAAGGAAAATATACAGCAAGTTCAGCTGTACAATTGAGAGTTGCAATGCACGTCCAGTGCTCTTATTTACCTATGTCCTAGCCTGACTGCTCATCGGAGCAAGCTACGCTTTTTAGCATCTTAAAAGCAATATCAACTCAATTATGAATACTTGTGGGTAAGACATGATGGGGGATATACGCAGGGCCGGATTTACCAATAGGCTACATAGGCTGTAGCCTAGGGCGCAACATTCTGAAGGGCGCAAAATTTTTGAGAATTAATTTTTTTTTCTAATCTAACGAGTCTTTTGTTACTTTTTATTTTCCAAAACCAACTTGCAAACGTAAACGTACCTCAAAACTGTTTAAAATCGTGTTATTTTAAAGGTAAATTTGAACATTTTCCTGACACCTAACATCCTCCTTCTGATCTGGAGGGGGGGGGGTCCGCGAGAGCGCCTACTTTTAAGGACGCCACCTTAAG